AACTCATGGCACCGTGTGTGTCAGAGTAGAACTGTGCACCTCCATAAGGTTTTCAAGGTTGCGACCCTAGACCGGGTTTGCCTTCCAAGATGTGATTGAATTTCTAACCTGGCTAGTAGTCAAGTGCTTAACCAAATATATCACCCAACTGGGTGCCATCAAGTCCATGCCAACCCACAGTGACCCTATAGGACAGTGTAGAACTGTCTCTGGGTTTTCAAGGTTGTAAATGATGGCAATATAGTCTCATCTTTCTCCTGGTGTACCAAGGACTCTAGTTAACCTTTAAAATAAAAGAGTACTGCTCTTCTGTTGATTCTGACTCATAATCAGCCCTATAAGCCAGGATCTAGTAGAATTTCCCCATGGGGTGTCCAAGGCTGATCTTCACCGAAGCGGACTGCCCCATCTTCCTCCCACAGAACCACTGGTGGGTTCAAACTGCCAACTGAGCACTTAACCACAGCACCACACAGGCCCCTTGTAAGTCCATAGTAAACCCATATTCAGGTCTCCCACCCCAAAATCCTTGCTTTTACCCATGCTACTAAGCACTATAAAAACACTGGTTTTAAAAAAAATAATACGTCTTCAGCCAGTTACTGAAGGTATGCTTATAATAAGTCTTGTTGAACATGCTTTGGGACGTTGAAGTAAATAGCAAAATTCTGCCTGTGCTGTTAACACACTGGTAGAAAAGAATGTATAGCTTCTTAATTACAATGAGATCCAGTGAAGAACTTGTGCCATTGGGTAGGAGAATCACTATGTAGTGAGGAAGTGGCTTCAAACAAAAGGATCGCTGGTTTAAATATTTGTTTGGAAGGTGTTTGAAGATGTCTAGAGAGAGGTTGGGCTTGAGTCAGTCCGCAATGACTAGTAGGACAAACACCAAGACCACGGAAGAAACTGCAGAACTCGCTACATGAGGCCCAGCCCCACGCACTCTGTGACCGGAACTAGATAGTGCCCACTTACCACTACTGACTGCCCATTTCTAATCAGGGCCACAACAGATGGATCCTGATCGAACAGTAGGAGAATGTGGAACACAACCTCACATTCTTGTACAAATCCAGAATTACTAACTAGACCGGTTGAGACTGAAGGAATTAGAGACTAATGCACTCTTTAAAATATCACTCAAAACTATCCCAGAGGTCAATTTTAGCTATATAATAGATTGATTTGCAGAGTAAATGTCGCCTATGAGTACTCTACTCCTTTGAAAAATAATTTTTAAAACTAAAAATTGTATATATTGAAACCATTGAATTGTATGGTATGTAAATTATATGTCAAAGTGGTTTCTTTAAAAAATTATACACAAAGCAAAATTCAGCAATTTTTTCCAAATGTAAGGGGAAAGGAAGGCTTACTAGAAATAGAAAGAATGAAAATATTTCCTACATCCTGAAGAATGTAGCAATGTCTGAATCATTTGTGTAGAAATTGTTGGATGGGAACTGATCTGTTTAACTTTCACTGAAAACCCACTAAAATACTAGCTTAACAATAATGAAAGGTGAGGTCGAATTTCCACAGGCAATGAGACATTGGGTCAGCGTAAAACCTGAAAAAATAAAAATAATTTATAAATTATCAAGGGTTCATGAGGTGTGGTGGGGAGAAGCTGATACCAAGGGCTCAAGTAGAAAGAAAATGTTTTAGAAATGATCATGGCAACATATGTACAAATGTGCTTGATACAATTAATCTATGGATTGTTATAAGAGCTGTAAGAGCCTCCAACAAAATGATTTATTAATTTTTTAAAAGAGAAAAAATTATTCATGAATAACAAACATCCCATGATTGCTTTGCTTTGTGGCTTGAATT